GCCATAAGCAAAGTGGATGTTCTCCTCTCCCTTCAGAGAAGAGTGTCTCCTTCTTTGATGACCCTTTCTTTCCTCTGAGGTCTCACAGAGATCATCCGTGTAGGATATTTTTTGTCACAGTCTTGTCTTTCCATGCCTGAAATGCTCTCACAGGCCTTTCAGCACAACCAGGAAGCCTTATGGATTGATTCTGAGGTCAGAGTTTTAAGCAACGTTCTATAATATAACACAGGAGTATTTTTTCATGACCTTTAAGCAGGTTACACTTTCATTAAAAGGATGTAAAGAATAATAAGAAAAAGAAACACTGATTGCTTCTCAGCCTTTTGGCTAAGATCAAGTGAAGAAACACTGATAAATTGAATCTCACTAAAATTAAGAATTTTGTGAATCAAAAGACACCATTACGAGGCAAAGAATATTTCTCTAAACTATTCTTCAGTAATCTCTAGTTTATATTTTAAGTGAACAAAATAAAGTGGAGAAGAATAATAAATAAATAAAAGTGTACTGATGAGGCAGCAGACACTAAACTTCTCTAAATACACTGTTTTATAAATTTATTGTGGAACACGTGAATATTTCATGTAATTATAAAACAAATCAAATTTTAAAAAGCAAGCCCTAAATTTGAAAGTAATTTGAAACAAATGACCCTGACTCTTGCATCCAGGCTTGTATCCAACTATTCCAAAGATACTTTTTAAAAAAAAAAAAAGATTGATTTATTTATTTGAAAGTCAGAGTTACACACAGAGAGAAAGAGAGGCAGAGAGAGAAAGATCTTCCATCTGCTGGTTCACTCCCCAAATGACATCAATGGCCAGAATTGAGCTGATCCAAAACCAGGAGCCAGGAGCTTCTTTTGGGTCTCCCATGTGGGTGGAGGAACCCAAGGACTTGGGCCATCTTCTACTGCTTTCCCGGGCTATAGCAGAGAGCTGGATCAGAAGTGAAACAGCTGGGACTTGAACCAGTGTCCATATGGGATGCCGGCACTGCAGGCAGTGGCTTTACCTGCTACACCTGCTGACCCCCCAAAGATATTTTAAAACACAGTAATTTGAGTATAACATGCCTGTTGGGATATACCTTTCAAGTGGCAACCTCTGTAAAATATAAAGTTGCTATAATAATCACATTGTTAGTGTCATTCTGGCATTGTTTTCTAAGTCTGTCAGAATGGTGTGGAGTCACAAACATGTAATTATGTTGATGTAAATGAAAACTGGGACTGTAGGTGTGGGAGAAAGGAGATATAATACTGACAATGTTAAATAAAAACCTTACAGTGCTGCATTTGAAGTAGAAAGATTAGTAAGAACTTGTGGGCATCCCTTAGCTCAGTAACCAAAAATACCTGGAAATGCTAACCAACCCTGTAGCTAACAGCATACCTATTGTCCCTATTGTATCTCTAAATATTATTTCACATTGAAAACAACCAAAAGGATCCTTATAGAATGATTCCAGTTCTAGGACATGAAATATACAAGATGACCTGGACATCTTGTCATATTAAAAGCAAGGAGGAGGGGTCGGCGCTGTGGCTCACTTGGTTAATCCTCCACCTGCGGCACTGGCATCCCATATGGGCACCAGGTTCTGGTCCTGGTTGCTCCTCTTCCAGTCCAGCTCTCTGCTGTGGCCAGGGAGGGCAGTGGAGGATGGCCCAAGTGCTTGGGCCCCTGCACCCACATGGGAGAGCAGGAAGAAGCACCTGGCTCCTGGCTTCAGATCAGTGCAGCGCCGGCCATGGGGGCCATTTGGGGAGTGAACCAATGGAAGGAAGACCTTTCTCTCTGTCTCTCATTGTCTACAACTCTACCTGTCAAAAAAAAAAAAAAAAAAAGCAAGGAGGAGCTCAAAAGACTACCAAGAGTCACTTGGAAAAGACCCAAGGTGTTACTACTGAGGAAAACTGGGTGACAAGTACATGGGATTTCTCTGTACCATGTTTGCAACTTCGTGTGAATCTATATTTTAAAATGAAAGGTTTAGAACAGTACATACTCACACAGGCATGCAAGCATACACATACACAAAGACTCAGCAGTCAACCTGAAAAAACCTCACTTGCCAAAACCAGCATAGTTTCAGCATTAAAAAACTAACTGTGGGGGCCGGTGCTGTGCAGGTTAAGCTGCCGGATGCACATGAGCGCTACTTCCAGTTCCAGCTGCTCGACTGCTAATGTGCCTGGGAAAGCAGTGGAGGATGGCCCAAGTGCTTGGGCCCCTGCCCCACATGGGAGACCCAGATGGAGCTCCTGGCTCCTGGCTTCAGCCTGACCCAGCCCTGGTGGTTGCAGCCACTTGGGGAGTAAACCAGCAGATGGAAGATTTTCTGTCTCTCCGTCTCTGTCTCTGTCTCTGACTCTCTCTCTCTCCCTCTAATTCTTTCAAATAAATAAATAGATAGATAAATCTTTTTTAAAAACCTGCAGTGGATTGTGCCATATCAAATATGTTTTAAGTCCATGAGCTCACAGTGACATGTAAAAATATTCATTGGTCTTTTTTTTTTAGGATGCTAAAAAACTGCTAAATAAAGTTCCTATGTGAACTATACCTCAGAATAATCAAACCATTGAAGGAAAAATTCCCTCTATAGACATATTACAGTTAATAAAGGAGGAGAGGTGGGTATTTGGAAGATCAGTTAAGCCACCGCTTGGGACATTCAAATCCCATATTGTGGTCTCTGAATTAGAGTTCTAGCACTGCTTCTGATTCCAGCTTCCTGCTGATGTGCACCCTGGCAGGCAGCAGGTGACGGCTTAAGCAGTTGTATCCCTGCCACTCATGCAGGGGACCCAGCATGATTTCCCAGCTCCTTGCTTTGGCCTGATCCAACCCCAGCTGTTGTGGGCTTTTGTGGGAGAGAACCAGCAGATGGAAGGTCTCTGTCTCTCTGCCTTTCAAATAAATGAAAAAGAAGGAAGGAAAGGAGAGAGAGAGGAAGAGAGAGAGGAAGGAAGGGATAGAGGGAGGGAGGGAGGGAGAGGAAGGGAGCAAAGGAAGAGAGAAAAGTGGTTCTCAAAAGTGTGGTCTTAGGCCGGCGCCGTGGCTCAATAGGCTAATCCTCCACCTTGCGGCGCCGGCACACCGGGTTCTAGTCCCGGTGGGGGCGCCGGATTCTGTCCCGGTTGCCCCTCTTCCAGGCCAGCTCTCTGCTATGGCCAGGGAGTGCAGTGGAGGATGGCCCAGGTGCTTGGGCCCTGCACCCCATGGGAGACCAGGAAAAGCACCTGGATCCTGGCTCCTGCCATCGGATCAGCGCGGTGTGCCGGCTGCAGCGGCGGCCATTGGAGGGTGAACCAACGGCAAAGGAAGACCTTTCTCTCTCTGTCTCTCTCTCTCACTGTCCACTCTGCCTGTCAAAAAAAAAAAAAAAAAAAAAAAAGTGTGGTCTGGACCAGTTGAGTGTCCATGAAGTCAAAAGCATGTTCAAAATAACACTTAAACATTACTGGCCTTTTTCTCTGCATTCACATTTGCACTGATGATGCGAAAGTACTCATGGGTAGAACCAGGTGCCACAGATGTCATCAAGGTCATGGCTCCAAACTGAGCTGCAGTCATTGTGTTCATGACCATGTGTGCACAGTGAGAATGCCTTAGATTAAGCTCTCAATGTTACTCTTTCTATTAAATCTCAACCATTAAGTATGCATCTTTTAAATATTCCACCCAAGAAAATGGAAATGGAAAGCATGCTTAAAGCACTTCTGTTTCATAGCAAACCATGACACCTGCCTCAAAGAAAAGCAGTTGGCAATTGTTTGAATCTCAGGCTGAACTAGTGGCTTTTTTTATGGAACACCATTTTTTTGCTGGAAAACAATTGACAGAATTTGTTGCAAATGGTAAGATTCAATATTTCAAGTAAGAATTAGACTTTTGGAAAACTTGAGGCCACCATTTTGAGCCCTCAGCTTCCTCACACTAAAAGACTCTCTGGTGAGATCAGTGGTCATATTAATGAATGTGATTTTTTTTGACACTGTATAACAAAATATATCCACATTTGGAAGGTCTGCATAGTTCAGCAAACCAATAGTTTTCAATGACCAATACATGTGACTTTAAAAAAAATCACATAATGGAAGGAAGAGATAAATGATATGAGCATTTTAATAGTTACTTATGCAAACTCTTCTGTATTTAACTATTACATTGAATACAAAATAAAATATAGAACTAAAAAATGAGATATTGGTAAATACCAACCTTACAATGATAATACTATTACAAGAATAGAGTAATTGGAATTATCAAATGCTTCTGATAGAAGAGTAAACTGGTAAAACTAATTTGAGAAACTACTGATGATATTTATTAAAGCTAAACACACTCCTACCTTATGATCAAGCTGTTCCTATTACTAGCTATATATCCAACAGAAATGCAAATATATGCACACCAAAAACATGAGAAAATGTTCACAGAAGAACTGTTCACAAAAGCAAAAGAAAAGATTTGAAAAAATACATAAACAGAAAATGGGTCAATAAATTGTGGTATTTATGCACATTAAATATATAGCAATTTAACAGATGAATTATTACTCTAGACAAAGAGCCTGGACAAATGTCACAAATATAAGAATGAGCTAAAGAACCCAGACATAAAAAACATAATCATCCCATATGAATCTATTTTTACCATATTTTCTATTAATTCACGATGACAGCTACATTTCAGGAGAAATTAATTACGGGCAGGGTAGCTGTGGCTCTGATACCATTTGACTTCTTTGCCTCTATGGTGGTCACACAACTGTACTGGCTTTGGATTACTCATCAAGTTGTACATTTATGAAACATGGACTTTTATGTATTTTATACTTCAATTAAAATTTTTTTTTAAACTTTTATTTAATGCATATAATTTTCCAAAGTACGACTTATGGATTACAATGGCTTCCCCCCCATACCGTCCCTCCCACCCACAACCCTCCCCTTTCCCACTCCCTCTCCCCTTCCATTCACATCATGATTCATTTTCGATTATCTTAATATACAGAAGATCAGCTTAGTATACATTAAGTATGGATTTCAACAGTTTGCTCCCACACAGAAACATAAAGTGAAAAATAATAGATGATTTTTTTAAATGATGATGAAATCAGAGCAGACCTATTGTCATGTTTAATCCCAGTGAGAGTCAAGTTGGGAATTGATAATTTCTTTTTTTTTTTTCTTTTCTTTTTTTTTTTTACAGAGGATCAGTTTAGTATGCATTAAGTAAGGATTTCAACAGTTTGCACCCCCATAGAAACACAAAGTGAAATATATTGTTTGAGTACTCATTATAGCATTAAATCTCAATGTACAGCACATTAAGGATAGAGATCCTACATGAGGAGTAAGTGCACAGTGACTCCTGTTGTTGACTTTACCAATTGACACTCCTGTCTATGGCATCAGTACTTCAATTAAAATTTTTAAGAATAAAAGTTATTTGGGGCCAGCACCATGGCTCACTTGGTTAATCCTCCACCTGCAGCACCAACATCCCATATGGGTGCCGGGTTCTAGTCCCGGTTTCTCCTCTTCCAGTCCAGCTCTCTGCTGTGGCCCAGGAGGGCAGTGGAGGATGGCCCAGGTGCTTGGGCCCCTGCACCCGCATGGGAGACCAGGAGGAAGCACCTGGCTCCTGGCTTCGGATCAGTGCAGCATGCCGGCTGCGGCAGCCATTTGGGGGATGAACCAACGGAAGGAAGATCTTTCTGTCTCTCTCACTGTCTAACTCTATCTGTCAAATAAATTTAAAAAAAAGTTATTCAAGACACTTAATAGCACGCTGGGTAGAAAAGTTACACCTTTAAACTCATACATCAGCAACAACAAAAGTTTGGAGTGGGTGTTGCAACAGAGCAGACTAAGTTGACACTTAAGTTGCCTGCATTCCCTAAAGAATGCCTGGGAGTGAGTCACACCCCTACTTCCAATCCAGCTTCCTTCGAATAAGCCTGGAAGGCAGCAGATGATGGCTCAAGGAACTGGGTCTCTGCTACCCATGTGGGAGACCTAGATGGAGTTTCTGGCCCCTGTCTCCTGGCTTAGCCCTAGCTGTTGCAAGCAGGCATTTGGGGAGAAAACCAGCAGATGAGTGATTCATATTTTTTTCTTTTCTTTTTTATTTATTTATTTGAAAGGCAGAGTTACAGAGAAAAAGAGGTCTTCCATCCACTGGTTCACTCCCCAAATGGCTGCAAAAGCTGGAGCTGGGTCAGTCCAAAGCCAGGAACCAGGAGCTTCTTCTGGGCCTCCCATGTGGGTGCAGGGGCCCAAGGACTTGGGCCATCTTCTACTGCTTTCCCAGGCCATAGAAGAGGGCTGGATTGGAAGTAGAGCAGCCAAGACACGAACCAGTGTCCATATGAGATGCCAGCACTGCAGGCAGTGTCTTTACCTGCTATGCCACAGCACAGGTCTCCTAAATAAAACTTTTTAGAAAACAAACAACAAAAGGTTGAAAATCAGTAAACTAAATAAACTATAAAGGAACAACATAATGAATGCAAAGAAAATATGAGGAAGGAAAAAAGAGTAGAAATTAATAAAACAGAAAGCAAATACATAAGAATTATACTCCCCAAAACCAAAAGTTAGCTTTGAAAAGGTAATTAATAAACCACTTCTAAGTCTAATCATGAAAAGTGCTAAAACTGACTAGCAGGACTGAAAAGGGCAAAATCACTGCAGACACTGCAGACTCTGAAGAGAACACGTTTTCTACAACCTGGTGGCAAAATATTTGAAAGTTTAGGTGAGATGAACATATTTCTGAAAAATAAAATCTACAAAAACTAGAAGAGTAAAAATGTGAATAATTCTGTTAATAATAAAGACAAATGATTTCATGATTCAAACCTTCCCACCAGGAAAACTGGATTCCCTAAGAGGTTCACCAGTGAATTCCACCAAATGTTTAAGAAAGCTCCCTCACCAGTCTTAACAAACACGTCCAGAGATCAGAAAAAAGGAGTTCGAGAAAGGGACAGAGGTAACTAGAGAGACAGAGATGGGGAGAGAAACTTCTGACGTACTTAACAGGACCAGCATAACCTGGATAGCAAGTCCTGATAAGAAACGACAAACCCATCTTGACTGGTGAACACAGACTCAAAAACCCACCACTGAAATTTCTTTTTTGGTTGGATTTTGTGGTGTTGTTCTTTTTTCAGATGTATTTACTTGAAAGGCAGAGTCACACCCCCCCACACACACACTCAGAGAGAGAAAGAGATAGAGAGAGAGATACAGATAGAGACAGAGACAGAGAATATCTTTCATCCACTGGTTCACCACCCAAATGGTCACACAACTGGGGCTGAGCCAGGCAGAAGTCAAAAGCTTCATGTGGGTCTCCCATGTGCGTGGCAGGGACCCAAGTACTTGGGCCATCACCTGTTTCTTTCCCAGGTGTGGCAGCAGGGAGCTCAATAGGAATTGGAGCAGCAATCAGGATGAGAACTGGCACTCAAATATGGGATATTGACATCTAGGCAGAGGCTTAGCCTGCTACAACAATGCAGGCCCCAGTTGGTTGTTTGTATTTGGAATGAACATCATTTTGAGTCTAAACAAAACAGCTATATTCTTTGCTTACAGATTCTAAAGAATAACCATTATGTGCCTGACTTAGAAAGTATATTTCTGAGGATATGTTATTAGAATTCTACTATGAAAACAGAGTATATGTAGATGGCAACCAGATGGCTGTAGGAACAGCATGAATTTGGAATGGAAGAGAAAGTTTTTCTGTTTCACTGCTGCACAGGAGAATATAAGACTGTATATTCATTCCTAGATTCCAAACCAATTTCCAGATAAAGACATAGAATGACCTTCTGTTTGAGGCAGAGTTTTTTCGTTTGAAAGGCAGAGTGACAGAGGGAGAGAAGGAGAGGTCTTCCATCTGCTGGTTTACCCTGCAAATGCCTGCAACAGCCTGAGCCAGGCTGAAGCAGGAACCTGTGTCTCTATCCTGGTCTCCCTCATAGCTGGCTGGTACCTGAGTACTTGAGCCATTATCTGCTGCCTCCCAGGCACACCAGCAGCAAGCTGGATGGGAAGCAATGGAAGTGCTTAATGCCAGATAGCCTGATTTGGCATGTATGCACCCCACACAGCAGCCTAACCCCCTGCATTCACCACAACACCACCCTGAGAAAGAAATTTTTATCCTTATCCTTTCTTTTTATATATATAAACACAGCATTAAAAAGACATAATTAATTTATATCCTGAACCATTCTCTTAAACCATCCATTACAATTGGGAATAAAATGAGTGGCCACCTTTATCACTTGGCTTTTTTTTTTTTTTTAAGAATAACTCTTACCAACAAATTCCTCATTTCCTGTAATACTTTAGTCAGTTAGAATCTGGAGTGTGAACCATATTCCTTTGATGTTCTGCCAAATATTGATATTTCTGATACTCACATGATATACATTTGAACAACGTAAAAACCTTTTAGCAATTTAGCCCACCTTCATTCCAACACAGCTAAGTGTATTCAGTCTCTGGAATATTATCATTGCCCTGCAAATATTGGAGACTACAAAAATCAATGGGTGCTCAACATTATCAGACAAGTTGTCAATACTTTCCCACTGACATTTCCCCCAGTCACTGCTTCTCCCTCTGTCCACTCGAGGTACAATGCTCTTTTCCTTTCTGTCTTACAGGTTTGAGGTTCTCTATTACATAACAAGTGCTGTAATGCTGTCTACATTTTTTTTTAAAACTTGGGTATACTTCAAATGCTATGTAAGCTTCCTTAGTCACAGCACTCCAAAAGGTTTTTGAAGTAGTTAACAGCTTCAAAGTAAACATACAAAATCTAATTAACCTATGGGAAAGTCTACTTATGGAATGTATGCTTATAAGTAAAAACACATAGAATGCCAAAAACCATTTTGCCACTCTGTTAACAAATGACACTGCAGAGTGGAAAATACCCTATAAAACCTGCAAAAAAGGAACTGCTCTAATTCCAGAACCATACATTAATACAACATTGCTATGTCCAAACTATAACTTTTACGTGGACTACTTAATAAGTTGTTCAGTAAATGTCTCATGCATTCTTGCCACACTACTATGTAAAAACTTTTTCCAGGGGCTGGCGCTGTGGTGTAGCAGGCTAAGCCTCCACCTGCGGCATCCGCATCCCATATGGGTGCTGATTCTATTCCCGACTGCGCCTTTTCTGATACAGCTCTCTGCTATGACCTGGGAAAGCAGTAGAAGATGGCCCAAGTGCTTGGGCCCCTGCACCCACATGGGAGACCCTGAAGAAGCTCCTGGCTTCAGAATACCCCAGCTCCAGCCTTTGTGGCCATTTGGGGAGTGAAGCAGTGGATGGAAGACCTCTCTGTCTCTCCCTCTCTGTGTAACTCTACCTCTCAAAGTAATAAATAAGATCTCTAAAATTTTTTTCCAGTTCTTTCCATTGCAAATGGTAAGTCAAAATTTATATCTCAGAGGTATAATTTTGTTTAAAGCTGTTAAATATTATCAGGGATGCTGAGAAGGTGTGTTCAATTCAGTTGATCAGATATTACCACAGGTTCATCTAAGAAGTGTTTCTGAACACAGCTAGCAGTCATCTCCCGATCACAAGAATTCAATCCCATAAAAATTCGCTTCCCGTGGCACTGCTGCCCCCTTTCCTACTCCATATCTGAATAAAGGATATTGGCAAGTTCAGTCCTACACCTATAGCCAGACTGCTCAGGTCGGCAGCACTGTACTCCCACACAACAGCAAACGGTCATTACCAGAGCCAAGTCCCAGAGCAGCGCAGAAGAGATAAGTCTGAGAAGATCTCTCCACTGTAGTGATATCTATTGTGGCTGATGCCATGAAAGAACCAAAAGCCACCTGCTTAGAGACAACACCTCTGATGGCAACAGCCTGGGTTCCGGCTCAACTGGATACACACAAAGAAAAGCAAGCACTCCAGAAAGAAAAGGCAAATACAGGCTGGGGCAACTATTAGATACAGAATCTGGGCAGAAAGCTGCCCTCCTAGTTCCCAGACATCTTCAAAGTCTGGAAGGACCTGAGGGACTGATTCACTCAAGAGCACCCCCAAAGCCACAGAGGAAGAAAACAGTGGGTCCCTGTGGTCCTGAACTGCTACCTCCACCCTCTCTGAACCCCGTCAGTGGGAAGAACCGAGCGGGTGGTGCAGAGCTCTCCCTTGTTGGCTGAAATTCTGAAAAGGCTGGCGTCTGAAGCCTGGGAGATGCGGTAGGAAAGCCAGGCACTGGAACCACTGTCTGTGTCCTCTGCTACCACTTTGGTGACCAAGTGTCCAGTTCTGGCAGAGTGGGGCACAACTTCCACTGGGACTGAGCCATTTCTGGGCAAGGGAAGCAAGATGACCAGAGCATTGTCATTCCTGCCTGCCACAAACACATGTACAGTCACCGTTGCACTTGTGGCGGGAATGCCGCCGTCCCAGCCCTGCACTCGGAACTGAAACCTCCAGAGCCGCACAAAGTCAAAGGAAGTTGTGGCGGTGATGGCTCCGCTGGATGATTCCACTGCCACCAAGCTAGAAGCTGGTGTTCCTTCCGAGATGGCATCCAATAGCTCATAAAAAATAAGGCTGTTCTTCCCCAGATCCAGGTCCTGGGCAAACACCCGGCCTAGAGAGGCCCCAGGACTGCTGTTTTCAGCCACGTAAACCTCCTGCTGTAGTTGAGAGAAGCTTGGCGTGTTGTCATTCATGGCAGGGACTGACACAGCCAGTGTCCTTCGTGAGCTAAGTGGGGGCGAGCCAACGTCCGAGGTGTCAAGGAGGACCTGGTACTCGCTCCTCTGCTCCCAGTCCAGCGGCCCATCTGTCAGCAGGCTGCAGCAGCTGTCAAAGGAAGCCTTCAGCTGAAAGGAGCCACTGCTGGACATGCTGCAAATGACCCTACCACTGGGGCCGAGGTCCTTGTCCCTCACACTAAGGAGGGCAATCACCGTGCCAGGGGCGTCGTCCTCGGGGACCGGGCTGTACACAGTTATGAAGCTCACTTCAGAGGCATGGTCGTTCACGTGGGCCACCTCCACCAGCAGCTGGCGAGGCCAAAGGTGCCCGCATCCCTTGACTCGAGGTATGCCTCCAAGAGCATTTCTGGTGGACCCAGTGGCGTGGCTACCCGCACCTCCCCACTCCAAGGTACACGTGAAAGTGATGCCGTGGCCCTACTCACATTGCTTAAAGAGTACCACACTTCCCCACTGGAGCCCTCATCTGGATCCGAGGCATTGGGTGCAACCTCTGGAACCATGGTGCAGTACATGGAGCGATCCAACACAGAGGCATTGTCATTTGCGTCCACCACGATGATGGAGACTTGCACATCCCCGGGTCACCACCTGCCATCCCGAGCCGTGAGCACCAGATCCAGAGCTTTCTCTGACACCAGCTCCGGGTATTCGCTGCCTTTAACCCACGACCCCATGACCAGCAGAAAGTACGGGCTGGGGCTGGGGCTGTATCTTAGCACCTCGTTGCTTCCTTCGTCCCCATCCTGGGCATTCCAGACAGGAAAGCAGGCTCTGGGCGTCAGGTACTCAGGGATGTCCAGCTGCACGACGCCAGCAGGGAAGAGGGGTGAGTTGTCACTGGCGTCCAGGACATGAACGTTCATCTTGTGCAGCTCGAGGGGTCCTCGAACATGAGCTCATAGCTCAAGATGCACGCAGCTTGCTTTTGTTTGTTTGTTTGACAGGCAGAGTGGACAGTGAGAGAGAGAGACAGAGAGAAAGGTCTTCCTTTTTCCGTTGGTTCACCCCCCAATGGTCGCTACAGCCAGCTCACCACGTTGATCCGATGGCAGGAGCCAGGCGCTTCTCCTAGTCTCCCATGCAGGGCAGGGCCCAAGGATTTGGGCCATCCTCCACTGCACTCCCGAGCCACAGCAGAGAGCTGGCATGGAAGAGGAGCAACCGGGAGAGAATCCGGCGCCCCGACCGGGGTCGCAGGCGGAGGATTAGCCTAGTGAGCCACGGCGCCGGCCGATGCACGCAGCTTTCGCCTTGCACAGCTGCTCGCGGTCTGCCTGCTCCTGGACCACCAAGCTACCACTGGCCAGCTCCACCCCGAGGTAGGGCTCGCCCTGGCTGGAAAGGAGGCGAAAGTTCCTTAAGGACAAAACGCCGCTGGCAGCCTCAAGCCCGTGGCGACATAGCCTACCACTAAGCCCCGCTCCGTCTCCTTTGACACTTTGTACTCGAGCTGTCCGGTGGCCGCGCCGCGGGAGACCCACAGACAGAGAATCGCCGCCCCCACCCCCACCCCACCCCACCATCCTCCCTCTGAGCGTCCACGCTCCACCGGCGGCGACCCGGGACCATGCTCCGAACTCCCGGAGTGCATGAGCCGCGGTGAGGAGCGAGCCCCGCCGGCCGCCTCCGCTGCGGGCAAGATGAGCAGCCACCGCCGACGTCTCGCCTCCAGCCCCGGGGTCGGCGGCCTGGGAGGTTCGCTTTACTGGAGCTTGGTAGCCGTCTGGGCATGCGGAGCGGGCGCGGTGCAGAGGAGCGCAGCGCCGCCTAGGGGTGCCCAGTCGAGGTGACCAGCCCGGGCTGGTGGCGCACCCGCTCCAGTCTCCGTGGGCTGGAACCTCGCCCGAGCTCCCGCTGCGGGCGCCGGGCGGGGCCGGGAAGACACCCGGAGAAACCACCTCGCCTCTACTTAAAGGGCGTTCCCTGTACAACGCCCGGAGACCGCCACGGTCCTGACGTCCCCAACCTCTGCCTGAAGACAGCAGGCACCCGGAGTTCAGCCCAACTGGGGTCCTCCCGACAACAGCTGGACAGTCCAGCCCCGGGTCCAGGGCGCTCGGACCCTCTGAGCCCCTACAGCGCGTGCGGAGAGCGCCGGAGGCGGGGAGAGGCGGGATGGTGGACGTGACCGACCACGCCTTCCACGCTTAAGGAAACAGGAGCCCGAGATCCAAGTGCAGGAGCGTTAGCAGTGCTGGAGTCCCAGGCTCTCTTGCAACCTATGATGCTCCGGGAACTCCCAGAGCCCAACAGAGGCGACCAGGAAGGGGCACACCAGCGAAGAGCATCCGCGGACTCTGGCTTTTCCGGGCAGCGCAGCTCACCAACCACGCTCCGCATACGGGGAGCGCTTTGCGAGCAGCACTCGGCACGAAGTCCAGAACCAGAAACTCAGAAAGCAGCACCGAGGCAGGGTGAGGGCAGGCCGGATGCCGGTGCATCTTCCAGCTCTGCTTTTAATCCGGTCTTCCGCAGGGAAGTCGGAACCCTAAGTGGCAAAGGCTGCCTGACTCGCTCGCCTTCATGAGTTAAGGGGCCGCAAGGCACAGACGCTAGGACGAGAAACACGTGGGTCCACGTGGTTGAGTGGCAAGGGTGGACATCATCAGGGCACCGCGCCAGGATGTGAACCAGCCCACAAAATTGGAATTTACCTCATCAAATTTCAAAGCCGAAACTACCTGCTTCAGGGCCAGAGACAGGGTTTGCATTTCCTCCTCTTAATTTAAGCCTGCCCACCAAGCTAACTGCTCTGGGCCGAAAGATTAGTTCCTCTGCTTTGCCATCAAGGCAGATGAAATCCACTTGGAAAGACACACCCGAGTTTTGGAAGGCCTCCTCACTTTAAGAACAGCAATCCCCCCGTTACACTGGGCTTAGGAATTCTAACCTGTATCTACCAGGACACTATATGTGGGTGTCAATTAGGGCATGAGGAAAAGGAAAATCTCACAGAATCAGGATGGGAAACCTTCACAAAAACTCCTCTAGTATCAAAGGACCTCATTTGTGTCGAGAACCCATGGCTAGCACCCACCGTGTAGGATTTGTCTCTCCATGTGCCTTATTCTAGGCATCACATTGCATTCTTATTCCAAAAAAAAAAAAATAGGATTTGTGGTGAAGCAGTATTTAAGGGACGAGGATATTCCAAAGACAAGGAAGGCTAAGGATGTTTGCCTTTGGATAAGATGATCAGGTAAACATGAAAATCATAAATAAACAAAGCTTCTCTTTAGGAAGAGTGTTTACTGCTAATATTTCATTTTGTCATTTTATAGAAATGTCCACAGTTTCTCCAAATGTAGGTACATCTCAGCTTTTAGCTAAGCACAAGTATAACTTTAAGTGGGTTCTGTGCAAAAACATAATCTTAATTTCTGCGTAGGCTCAAATGCCAGGATTAACTAAACTTGACCTTTAGCTGTAAAGTCAGAAGGTTTCTAGCCACATCGCACAAGCTCGTATCACAGATCCTGAGGCCAAACAAGCAAATAAGCAAACTGGTACTCACCGAAGAGTGTGTCAGCAAAAGGAGATCCTACTTTAAACAAGAACTTCTTAGTAATTAAAGTTATTCCCTGGGAGTACATTCATGTTATTTACTTATGAAAACTAAGTTAACAGATCACCGTCAGGTTAAGAAAACCTTAAACATGTAAAGCAGCTTAACAAAGTGCCCAAATCAAGTTTAACAGATTGGGAATTCCCTGGCAGGAGAGGTCTATGTCCTTCAATTTTGTTTTTCAAGTATCTTCCTATGTCCAGAACACGAGGTAAGTGGCTGCAGCATTTTTGATACACAATGTCCTCTGTCTCTTTCTCTCTCTCTTTCTCTCTCCCTTCCTTCTTTTACTTAAACCCTTTACCAGTAACAAATAGTGAATTTCTTTCTCAAGTTTTTATTATCAAGGAACTAGTTTTTTTCCATGACATAATACCTTCTAAACCTTGTCTTTTTTTTTTTTTAATCTAACTCTAGCACCTGGCTCCTGGCTTTGGATTGGTGCAGCGCTACGGCCGTAGTGGCCATTTGGAGAGGTGAACCAATGGAAGGAAGACCTTTCTCTCTGTCTCTCTCTCTCACTGTCTAACTCTGCCTGTCCAAAAAAAAAAAAAAAGAATCTAACTCTAAAACTCTATACTGTGTTTACTAATTACTTTTTATCATTTATCATTATGTATTAGACTTTCAAATTATCTTTCTCTAAAATCTTTTCATATTTCACCTTCAAAGTGTGACCCTCAGGACACAGTCAGACTCCAGGTTGGTTAAATTAGCTATAAGAGATCTGGATCTTCCTCTCTTTTTTTAAAGATTTTTTTTTGAAAGGCAGAGTTACAGAGAGAGTGAGGGAGAGACACACAGAGAGAGGTATCTTCCATTTGCTGGTTTACTCCTCAGATGGATGCAACAATCAGGGCTGGGCCAGGCCAAAGCCAGGAACCTGGAGCTTCATCTGTACCTCCCACGTAGGTGGGAGACACTTGGGCCATCTCCACTGCTTTCCCAGGCTAATAGCAGGGGGCTGAATTGGAATGGAGCAGCCAGGACACAAACTGCCGCCCATATGGGACTTTGGCACCACAGGCAGCAGCTGAACCCACTATGCCACAACACTGGCCCCCAGATCCAGACCTGCCATTCTAAATACTACATATATAGTAAGAGTCTCAAATGTCAGGGTCATCTACCTGCTATTCTTGATAGGCACTGTCTGAAGACAAACCAGACTTGATGGGAGTTGAAATCTGACATTTATTCATATATCAAAAGTTTTTCTTGAATGATATCTTGGGATTTTTCCCCTTTTCCATGTGTCCAGTCTCTTTGAAGATATTTATTAGGAGCATGTTGGAGCTCTTTTTTCCATGTTTCAAAGTAATATTTTCCTAATTCTTTCACATCCTTTGCTCTTTCCCACTTATTTTTCTCAACCTTATCAAATGTTTCTTCTTGTTCTTTGCTGTACGCCAAGCAAGGCCTTAATGTTTGTGAGGATTTTACACTTCTCTTCTATTTATCTCATAAATTGTGTCAGCTCAGTTTTCATGAGATATGTTCATTGTACCCTTAAAACTCTGAAACTGTTTTAAGTTATTGATTCTCTGAGGCTATTTAAGACTAAGAGTTGTGAACAGAATGGGATAAAACATTTACAAACCATACATCTAATAAAGTATTCATATTCAACAACTCAATAGTTTAAAAAAGGAAAGAAAAAACAGCTTAAAATGCAGAGAGACATTTCTCAAAAGAAGGCATTAAAATGGCTACGATGTATATGAAAACTGCTCAAAATCACCAATCATCGGAGAAATGAAGATTGAAAACACAAAGAGACATCAGCTCACACCTGTCAGAATGCATGGGAGAGGGTGTGGAGGAAAGAGCACCTTTGCACCCTGTTGGTAGAAAGGTAAATTTCTACAGCCATCACAGAGATCACTATGGGAGGTTTCTAAAAAACTGAAAATAAAGCTACCATATGATCCAGCAAGTCTACTAGCTGATGGTACGTATCCAAGGGAGATGAGATCAGTATGGCAATGAGATACCTGCCCTCCCTTGTTCACTACAGCTTTCTTCCCACAGGCTAAGACACAGAATCAGGCTAAATGTCCATGAAAGGATGAATGGATAAAGAGAATGTGGTATATACACTCAATGGGAAACTATTCAGCCTTAAAGAAGAAGGAAATTTTGTCATTGATGACAAGATGCATGAACTTAGAAAACATGTTAACTCATGAGTTAGGTGCAGAAGGACAAATACCACATGATCTCACAGTGAAACGGGAAGAAGTTGAACTCATAGAAAAGAGAGTAAAATGGTGAAATGATGGTTACCAGAGACAATAGGGGTCTAAAAAAGTTGAATTCATGGAAGAAGGGAGTAGAATTGTGATTACCAGGGGCCCGGGCAAGGGTCAACATTGATCGAGAGTATAAATTTTCAGTTAGATGGAGAAATAAGTTCAAAATATCTATTGAGTATAACAATGTACTATATTCTTGGAAAGGACTGCAAATAAATGCTAAGGTTCTCATCACAAAATAAGGTAAGTATGTAAGGTAGCCTGCATGTTAATTAGCTTGAGTTGGCCATTTCATAATGTATATACACACATCTCAAGATAATATTTTGTACATGATAAATACATATAATTTCCATTTGTCAATATAAAACATTAATTAATAATTAAGTTTCATAAATCTTTTGACTAGACCTCTAGTCGAGAATCTTGCTCACTTTGTAGTAAAAATGTTCAGGTGTGCATTCTCAGCTGTATTTTTTTTTCTTTTAAAAATTTTTTATTTATGTATGTATGCATTTCAAAAAGCATAGAGAAAGACAGATATCTTCCATCCTCTGGTTCACTACCCACATGTACACAGCAGCTGGGGCTGAGCTAGGCCAAGGCTGGAAGCAGGGAACTCAACTCAGGCCTCCCACATGGGTGGCAGGAACACAGGACTCGAGTCACTACTGGCTGCTTTCCAGGATATACATTAGCAGGAAGCTAGAATCAGGAACAGAGCCAGGACTCAAACCTAGGCACTCTGATGGGAATGCTGACATCCCAAGAAGCATCTTAACCTCCATGCCAAATGTAAGCCCCCTATATAATGCCTTCAGCCTCTATCTAGATCTCGTCCTTCCAAAAAAAGTATCATTGGTTTGGCATCTCTGTGTGAATCACTGCTCTGAGAAACACGAGCTGATCAGCTCTATCTGGGATCTTCTGAGGCAGGTCTCCTCTCTGGGAATTCTCACATCTTGATGCATTCTTCCTAGCACCTGGTTACTTACCTTCCTATACGGTTGAGTTTCAAATATATTACAGACTTTCATCAATGAAGTCATTCTGTTTTTTGTCAACTATTCTTTAGTTTTTCATGGGTTTCATGAGGGAAAAGAACCATTCAAATATATATTTTGATTTACCCATAGTTGATATAAATCCTACTCCCTGGCTAGTTATTTAAAGTATATGGGAGGCCGGCGCCGCGGCTCACTAGGCTAATCCTCCACCTGTGGCGCCGGTACCCCAGGTTCTAGTCCCGGTTGGGGCACCGGATTCTGTCCCGGTTGCTCCTCTTTCAGTCCAGCATTCTGCTGTGGTCCAGGAGGGCAGTGGAGGATGGCCCAAGTGCTTGGGCCCTGCACCCGCATGGGAGACCAGGAGGAAGCACCTGGCTCCTGGCTTCAGATTAGCGCAGCATGCCAGCCATAGCGGCAATTTGGGTTAGGGGGAACCAACGGAAGGAAGACCTTTCTCTGTCTCTCTCTCTCACTGTCTAACTCTGCCTGTCAAAAAAATAAATAAATAAAAAA